ACCTCAAAAAAATAGTTTGAGATGTGACATCACAATCCAAAAATTTTTAAAAAAAATAAAAATAAAAATAGAAAAAATAAAAAAAATAGAAAATTTTCGTGTACAAATTTGTCATTTGGTTTGACTCCATTTTGTGGGGTCACATAAAAATTGCTAAGTTAGGCCAGCTTGATGAAACTGCTAAGAAAGAGGCATCAATTTTAGGGTCCTACAAAATGAATTAAATTATTTATACACGTGATTTTCAACTAATTTTAGTATTAACCTATTCTTTCTTTTTTGGTATTATTCTCTTAAACACCATTACTCTATATTTTGCAAGCTTTTGACTTGTATAATCCACTTGATTAATTAGGTTGGTGGTTCATCTATTTTATCCTTACCTATGCTAAATAGTGTATATATATATCTCTTAATTATTTAAAATTATTAGCTTCATTATTTTCTTGATCCAACACAATTATTTTTCTATTATTAGTTATCTATGAACATTTTTGAATAAGGTCAATTAGGTACTTAGGTGTGCTTTATGATATGTCATATTGGTACTCGTAGTAGAGTTATACAAAGTACTTATATACGGAATAGGAAAGTTCTTTTTGCTACTTTTTCGTAATACCACAAATTCATGACAATTATAATACAAAACAAGTGCTATCTATGTAAGGACTTATATTTGAAGATGTTAGGTTTTGTAAAACTTCTTGATTTGAGTGAATTACGATATTTTTGTACAAAATAATCTAAGCAAATGAGGAGATAAATATTTTATAAATATATATTCTCTATAAGATGAAATTACCCTTTGGATCAATTCTGTAGGTAAAGGATGACTAAAATTTGTACTGTAGTAAATGGAAATATGTCTACAAAACATAGTAGAATTGGAATTACAAATACAACAAAAATACGACTACGAAAATATAGTTATAAAATCAGATTTAGTAAAACATGGTCTGATAAAACTAAAACTTTGAAATCAAGTCAATAAAAACTAACATAAAAAATGTTAAATGTTACTAAATTGGATCTCTTTAATAAGCTTATAATTATCTAACCCAAATCAAATCCAATTTGTAGAACTTGTCTGCGATCTAGGGGTTTATTCTCCTTTTAGGCTCGTAAGAGGAGAGTAAACCCGAAATGCTTCCCTTTTAAAGTGCGTGCCACCTCACTTGCCACATATTACCATTTATTGCGTTGCACATATTGTAATTTATCTATTAAGCAAGAAATATTTTTTAGAAAATTTCAATTGAGAAAACAAAGATAATTTGAATATTGTTATCCTTTGCAAATTCATACATGCCGCACCTGGGTTCTAGTACTTAATTACGTAAGAATAGTGCTCCATAAGTTACATTGTATAAAAAAATTAAAAATATATTTTGATTTTTGAGGGACTTAATAATAGTTAATAATATGTCCTTTAAATTTGTACCACTGTAGCTTCATTAATGGACAACATAATTATTAAGTAAAATAAAAAATAAAAAATAAATGGACAACATAATTATAAGCAACATAAACTGTGCGATGCTGACTTCCAAATATATTTGGGCCTGAAGACAACTGGTTGCCTAAGTACCACTAATTTAGTCGGGCTAATTAGCCCCTTGTAAACTGATTGGGCTAATTACAAGAATTGTTATCGTTGTTGAAACACATTACAATCATACTCTTAACTCTTCAAAGGGTCTATTTGGTCGAATTAAGACTTTACTTAATAAGGTTCTTATCTCAAATTCTAAAAGTTAGAGTTCCGAATCATGTAAAATAGGTGTTTGAAGATGCAGGTTCACTATTTTATTTTTTTCCCGTACCTTCAAGTGTCTTGCCCCTAATCACAAGACCAATAAGTCATGATAGAGAGTTGATTAGAAGTCATTATAATAGGGTCTCTCATTACCATTAAAAAGCTAAGATTCTCCAAATAAAATAGGTAATGGCATAAAGAAGGGTTGCCCTACCTCAAAAGTATAGAGCTATATTCATATAAAAAGGCACATAATATTAAGCATATAAATGTACATAAATCACAATCTATAAAACTGGTCCAACGATATATTATACATATTCAATGTCTCATTTTTTGTAACCATGAGTGACAATAGGATAGAAGGGGACCAAAGTTTACATTTATAAAGTATAAGCGAATGAAGAAAGTGTAACCGATAATAACAAAAAGAACTTATTCCTCATAGTCCCCCCCCCCCCCTTTTTTTTGTTGCTGTTGATGCTTAATTATTAGTTAATTACGAGATAAGTAAGGTTTACAATCTTCGTTTTTAAAAGTTTTTCCTGGTTACTACGTTCTAGAGTTGTACAACGTAGTTACGAATTAACTCATCAAAATTTAGGGCCTGTTCTCATTGACTGAACTTAGCTGAACTGAACTGAACTGAATTGAGCTGAACTGAACTGAACTGAATTGAGCTGAACTGAACTGAACTGAACTGAATTGAGCTGAACTGAACTGAACTAAGCTGAGCTAAACTGAACTGAAATGAATATTTTATAAAAGAAGGAAATTAGGAGCTGAACTGAACTGAACTGAGCTGAGCTGAACTGAAATGAACTGAAATGAATATTTTATAAAAGAAGGAAATTAGGAGCTGAGCTGAACTGAACTGAACTGAATTGAACCGAACTGAATTTCAACGTAAAAGAACAGGCCCTTAGTTTGATTAAGGAGGTTACCATGAAGCTATGATAGCGGAGGAAAATGAGGAATGGGGGAAGATGTGAAATACCATATCTTTAACACGAGGATCATTATATTAATATCTAACAAAAGTTGCTGACTTGTTTACACTTTTGTCAATTAAAAAAATAAATTTTGTACATCAAGAAGTTAAACTTGTTTTCTCGAAGCAAGAGCGGAGTTTTTATTAGTTTATAACCTTACTAGGCTTCTACCACCATTCGTGGCCTGTTCTAATTTACTGAACAGTTGAACTGAACTGAATTGATTAAAACTGAACTGAATTGAATTGAACTGAATTATACTGAACTGAAATGAACTGAAGTGAATTGTTTATGAGAGTAGGAAATTAGGAACTAAACTAAATTAAAATTAAGCTGAAGAGAACAAACCTCAATGTTATGATAAGCTTCTTTGTTTCCCTCCTTTCTTCTATTAACTAACGGGTATTTGAATCAATAATTGGGTTGTTCACTTCATCTACATGGATGTCATGTTTATTTGATTGAATTGGCCTTGTATTGATCTAACAGCTAATTAAGGCTTGTGCTAACTTTCTTCTTTGATTAAGCAAAGCCAAAAAATGTGCAACTGAAGATGAAACAACTAAAAGAAAGGGGAAAATACAAGTTAATCTGCCAGATAAACAAATTTTTGTTAATCTGATGTCCTTTTTGTAAATATATTGAAAAAGCAGGGTCATTTTTTTCAGTACTTTTGGTGAGTTGTTCAAAACTGTTTGCAACTTGCTTTTACTGTTTGGTGAGGAAATTACACATGTACCCCTCAACTAGTATATGAAAAGACGCATATACCCCTCCACTGATACTTGAAAAGACAATTATACTCCCAGATAAACAAATTTTGTTAATCTGGGGAAATAACTGGGTAACCCCTGAAAGAAAGGGAATGTTAATTATACTAATTAGTTGGCACTAGACCTAATATGCCAAATTTCCTATAACTTTTTTTTTCATGGTGATTATTATAGATAAAGTTCCTCCCAAACTATACAATAAAGTACGTAGTTCATGGTTTAATTTACATTTTATTTTTCTACAATCCATTGCATTATTAATTTTATTACTCAAGCAAATCAGGCCATATTTTTGAATAAAGAGACCATAAGCAATTGTGTACCTTTATTTTTTTAACAAAAACTCAAACACTATCATTATTTTTTTTTTTTTTTTTGAAATAAAACACTATCATTATTATAATGTTTTTCTATTTAATTAATATTCATACAATCACCAATTATTCTTAAATGTTTGTTAATTAAAATCAATTATACTCTTTATTATGAGATAATGAGAGTTAATTTTAAAGATTTAACAAATAATTTTTTATTATTTAATTGCAATTCATTACCAAGATACTAGAAAAATCATACTGATACGTACTCATTATATGCTTCTTGATTGTGACAATGCATGATTCATTCGTTATTGTATGACATGTACTTCTTCTTTTCAATTTAGTTGACAATTTTTTAATGACGTTTGTCAATATATTAATTCAACTTTGAATATCTCTAATTATTTAAAAATAAAAATAATAAACAATCAACATTTGAAAACACGCATTCTTCATCGGAGAAATATAACACATGCAAGTAATCCTACATACATAACTAAGGGTTTTTTTTTTTTTTTTTTTCACATATCTATAAATCACAAAAGATAATCAAACCAGAATTCGTGTCAACTAATTTAGAATTGAGCAATTATAAGATACCACATCTTGTTGTCCCAAGTTCGATTCCTATTTATTTTTAAGTTTTTTTTTTTTCAATGAAAAAAAAATATCACTTGAATGTATTTATTTTTCATATCTGAGCAAAGAAAGAAAACAATTTGACTAAATATTTTCCAAATCAAATTGATTAACTACATCATAATCATATATTACATGTGTTTCAATTTGAAATCTACACAACATTATTATCCTTGGCTAGAGACAATGGCTTTAAAAAATTTATACATAATCAATGCTAATAAATCAACAAATTAATTATATAAAAGGATCTCTTTCCTTTTTCTTATGATATCAAAATAATTTCCTAATTATAACTATTAAACTTATCCTAGTAGCAAACCATGCAGTTAACCAAAAAAATTATCTTTGATGATACATTTGAATATCTTCATCCAGCTATCATAATGCATTTTCTACTTTAATGACAAAAATAATGTGGTAAATAATTGTAATTATAATCATAATCTTGTCATAAATTAGATTCCCTTGTAAAAAATGTGTATATAATCCCCTTACTTCTTTAGGAGAAATCACACCCAAAAAAAAACATTTCTTCTTGTTTTTCCTCCTCTCTTATACAATGACAAGGAAGAAGGTCAAGCTAGCCTTCATCGCCAATGACTCGGCTCGAAAGGCAACCTACAAGAAGAGAAAGCGAGGCCTATTGAAGAAGATGGACGAGTTGACCACCCTATGTGATGTCAAGGCTTGTGCCATTCTCTATAGCCCGTATGAGACCCGACCAGTGGTGTGGCCCGCACCATCCGGTGCCAAAGACGTGATCGCGAGCTTCAAGAGGCTGCCGGAGATGGAGAAGGTGAAGAAGATGGTTAGCCAAGAGGAGTTCCTTAGGCAAAGGGTGGCCAAGGCACATGAACAACTTAAGAAGCAACAAAAGGATAATAGAGAAAAAGACATGACTCATGTTATGTACCAATGTTTGGCTGGTAAGAGCATACAAAATATGAGTTTATTAGACCTAAGTGATCTTACTTGGGTGATTAATCAACATTTAGGTGATATTAACAAGAGGGTTGATGTTTTAAAAAAAGAAAATATCCGCCCTAATAAAAACAATAATAACAACATTATTATTCACAATAAGAGTAATGCTAATAATAATACTCACTTGGGGTAGGCTTACCCCCATATCAGCATACAATGTACCCTAAAACAAAAACAAAATTGGAAGGCGAGTATTTGCAAGGACAAGGAGATGACCTTGATATGCAACAATGGTCATCATTCATGGATATGATGGGTCCGCCGATCACATTTGATCATCAACCTCCTCCTCCTCCTCCTCCTCCGCCTCTGCCTCTGCCTCCTCAACCACATCAACATAATCATCATGGTATGGCAATGGGTAATGGGTCAATTGGTGTTACAAATGGTGGTGCTAGTACTAGTAGTAATACTAGTAATAACAACATTAATAATGCAAATATGATGACAATGATGATGGGTCAATTTTGGTGAATACAATGGTCATGCTATTAATAATCCATCTTTGTGGTCCAATAATAATGCTTTCCTCCCTTGATGGTGATGATGTTGATGATGGTCATAATGATGAAATGGCTATGATAGTATGGAAGTATGGACATGATATGTTGAAGGGGTTGAATGTTTATTTTTATGTTAAATTATCTTATTTTAGTATTGCAAATTTTATGTTTTATTAGATGAACACAGATTTTTCAGCTTTTAGTTTTGGTTAAGAAATGGAAGATTGTTTAAAGTGATATGTTATTGGAATAATTAATCTTAATTCGAGTATCCTTTTTACTACTAGTATGTATTCAAATTAAAGTATGCAATTTCTTGGTTCAAATTTATTGTGATGAAGTATTATTAGCCTTTGCCAACAATTGAACAAGGCCATTCCCTTAGCATGTACATTATAAACATGATGCTCCTAATTATATTTTTCATTCCAATAAAATACTTACTAAAATAAACCTCCTTGTCTAATGACTCCATCTTAGCTTTAATAGGTCAAGATTAATTAATAAATTTATTGGTTGCTCGTGATTTTCATTTAATTATTGATCGTTTGAGACTTTGTGTACTTTCAAATTTCGTGACAAACAATTTAACAAACCATCATTTCTTTTCAACATCATTTCCACTTTAATGTATGTAAAGTGTTTAACATATTATTATATATACCACAAGTACTATGGTACATGAACAAAGCCTTTTTAAAATTAGGTACTTGTATTCCATCTAAAATTTGAAACCATACAAGAAAATAGGTATCTAGTGCTTTTCATTGAAACCAAAAAATATGTTTAAGCAAGTATTGTAGTGCAATTGTGTGAGAAAGAAAAGCCAAAGCAATTGCTTTAATTTGTTCAAACTAACGCCTATAAAACTTCAATTTTTTGCACCAAGTATCCATGTATGCTCGATCTCATAATACATAACCTCAGCCCAAATCTATTCCAGTTTCACTTTGATGTGCATCTAAATTTCGCCCACAACTCTTTCTGTCGCAAATATTTGTATCTATCAATTTAATTTTCGAGATATCTCAAAGTATTTGTAGTAAAGCCTTTCTCTCTTTATATTTTTTCCTAAAAAGCTAGAGGAGATAGATCTTTTTTTTATACTATGTGTACGTATATAATATTCAGTGGGTGGTGGAGGTAAATTGGAAAATCTAATCTAATTTTAAAAATTAGAATCAAATAATATGTGATCCTTGCTTATTAATTGTGGAAGGTAAGGATAAATATTTGTTCAAACATAAAGTTCAATTATATAAACACCATCATAAAGCAAGATAGACTAGGTTACCTTAAAAACTTACATACAAAAGCTTAACAACTTTTAAGCATGCTTTAGTTAAGAGGGTTACCCTTAAATTAAAGAAAAGAAGCTAAGAGTACGTATTCAAGGTTGGAAGAAATAAATCACAGCGAACTTTAATTTTGTATTTGTGTCATCATCTGATCTAGAACCCAAAAGAAGGGTCTCAAACTCTCAAGTTAAATCATCTACAATTCCTCCAATATAAGAGAACTTATATACTTCCTCCGTTCTTTTTTTATTGCACCATGAGGCATTTCATGCTTGTCAATGCATTACTTTAACTGTTAATATCTTCTATTATACTTTTGTAAAAATTATAAAAATTTGATATTTGAAAAGAAGATTTCGAGACGAATCTAAGTAGATCTCTCATGACTATATTTTTCCTAATGGATAAATCACAAATGATGGTCAAAGAACATTAAATGAATAGTGTCAAAGTCCAAATGGTGCAATAAAATAAAAACGGAGAAAGTATATATACGTTTGTTATATGAGTGACTTAATTAAAGATGAATCAAGAAGCTAGATGACTTTAATTTATAATACGGAGTAATATATACTATGTATACTAAGGATTATTTTGATGATTTTTTATGAAAGCTAAAAATGGACACCCTTGTACTGTTGGAAAAAAAATACCTGTTGAAATCAAGAACAAAAACAAGCAATATGTTACAATCAATCAATCAAGATCCGACCTCCTTCTATTGTGCCGTGGTTTGGAACCCACTGCCTTAGAAGCGAAATACGCCACCACCGGTACAGATTTCCTAGTGACGCACGCCCCCAAGTTTTACACAACGACCTCCGCAATTCGTGTACCCAAATTCGAAGGTTGGAATTGCTCAAGAACTGTTCAAATCTCAAAGGGTAGGTTTGTGTTTTGTGTTTAGGGTTTCAAGGAGTGAATAATCAATAATATATATATATATATATATATATATATATATATATATATATATATATATATATATATATATATATATATATATATATATACACACACACACACGTGAGGAGATTAAAAGAAAAAGGAAACAAAGCACTCAAAACCGCCTTTCTTCACTCGACAAAACCCGCGCCCGCAGCCCCGAACCCGCGCCCCCGTGGGTCTATCCCGCGGCCTCTTATGGCAGCTCAAACAAACTGCCCACCCGCGGGAAAACCCGCGCCCAAACCCCGCGGCCGCAGCCTGCGCCCAAGCAACCACAAGACAGAGCTCTATAACTCACATATAACCAAGATCGGTTTTTGACGCTTAACGATGAGGTAATGGAGGAAGGCATTAACAAGATTAAACATGGATAAAGAACAAAGGATCACAAACCAAAGTATTCGGATGCATTACTAGATTTCAACATGTACTGCATACCAACCAAGTAATTAACATAATAAGAACCTAATTGATGCTTGCAACTAGATCATCAATTTCCTACAAAACAACGAAGAAGATCCAATAATGAATCGTAGAGCAAACCCGAAATATAATGCAGAAAAAAAGTCAAATTGATTAAAGTATAGGATGTTGAAATGATAATTAAACGAGTAAAAACACCACTAAAATGTCAATTTTTTTTATCATCTTTTTAATGCTAATTTATTCATAGCCACAAAAAAAAAAAAAGCTTCAAACATGCAAAAAATGTACTTGCTGCATTTTTTTTTGTTTGTTTGAAAAAACCCATAAAAGGGGATACTTGCTGCATGTTGATTGTTGAGTAGTATGTTTCCTCTTTCTTTCTTGATTTTTTTGGTGGTTTTTTTATTTTCTTTTCTTTCATCAATCATGTTTGGTTACATTGTATACCCATTATCGTAGGGCCATATACAGGGTATGTGGAACACTTGAACATTAAAGATGTAAACTCCAGATTTAATTTTCATGTAATTATTACTCTGTATTAGGATTTGTTCACATTTACTTAATTTCGTACAGTTCAGTTAAGTTCCAATCAGTTCAGTTTAGTTTAGTTCAGTTCAGTTTAGCTCCAATCAGTTCAGTTCAGCTCCAATCAGTTCAGCTCTTAATTTTCATCTCTCATAAAATATTCATTTCAACTCAATTCAGTTTAGTTGTTCAGCTCTAATCAGTTCAGTTCAATTCAGTTCAGATCAATTCAACTCAGCTTAATAAATGTAAACATACCCTTAATTCAAAATTTTATTTTATCTCATTTTTTTTGTTTTCCCATTTGTTGTTGGCTTGGGCCTTGGGGCTGCTACTACAAAAGCTTCATGGTGCTCGGTGCTCCCCACTATTATTATTATTAACTTTTATTTTTAAAACAAGCCAAGGAATGAAAACATAAAGTAATATGAGAGCAATATAAAACCCTTTGACATAATGGGTGGAATTATACCACAAAAACAACAGAAAGAAACATGAAAATGAAGGTTAACTTATACTCCATACGTGTGAACCTTCTTTGGGAGTTAGGACTTATTCACTTCATCTTAACTTCAGTTCAGTTCAGCTCCAATCAGTTCAGTTTAGTTCAGTTTAGTTCATTTAAGCTCTAATCAGTTTAGTTCAGTTCATCAACTCCTAATTTCCTTCTCTCATAAAATATTCATTTCAGTTCTATTCAATTCAATTCAGTTCAGCTCCAATCAGTTCAGTTCAGTCCAGTCCAGCCCAATTGAGTAAACGTGAACAAGCCCTTAGGGCATGTTATCTTCAACTTATTTTCAGTTCAGTTCCTAATTTCCTTCTCTCATAAAATACTCAGTTTAGTTCAGTTCAGTTCAACTCCAATCAGTTTAACTCCAATCAGTTCAGTAAAGTAACTCCGAACAGGCCCTTACTCAGCTCTCTAATTTTTTTAAAAAAAATTATGACATACATGATGGAATTATACTTTTGCCTTAGCAAAATTTGCACCCTAAATTATGATTTGAATTTAACTTTTCAATACAAACAACCCAATAGTCGATTAGGGTCGATCGTCTAGGGCAGGGCAGCACACTCTAATTTTGTAGATCGACCTGGAACAATGCCTTTGAAACTGACAATATCTACCATATTGGGCGGCTACGATTTTCTTATTTAAACCTAGGGCCGAGTTGGGCTTATTCCGTTCTATTCATATAGTAGGGGTACTATATACAAATGACTTCCGCACACGAAAAAAAAAAATACAAGTAATTTCCACAAGTTTCAACTAGTTTTAGGGTGTGTTCACATTTACTTAATTTTAGTTCAGTTCAATTCAATTCAGCTCCTAATTTCCCTCTTTCATAAAATATTCATTTCAGCTCAATTCAGTTAAGCTCTAATCAGCTCAGTTCAGTTCAATTCAGTTCAGTTGAGCTCCAATC